AAGATAAAGCAGTTTGTTAATTCGGCGGAGTCAGGTGGAGCGGGAGCAGAGCCGTCCCTCAGGAGCAGCCTGGAGGGATGGCGGTCCGGCGCTGCGTCCTTCCCGGGGCCGGGATACACAAACGGGAAGTGAACAGGGACCCTCCACACGATCCCGTTTTGGCTGTGGCTTTGTAGTTACAATGTAGTGCTGCGTGGAGCTGGTAGATGAGAGCCAGTCTGGGTAATGTAGTTTTAAAATCAGAAGTAGCTTAAGCTAGGTTAGTCCTGGTAAACTAATACAAAGTTATCAGAGTGCATCTCCTGCGTGACTGTGCTGCTTCTTGATGTTGAGCCTTGCTCAAGTAGACAGCCCTCTGTGCTACACATTGAACACACCGTTACGGAAAAAGAACAGCTGTTCCTGCTGGTACTTAATCTCACTGTGGTGGTAAGGTATCTCCGTGGTAGCTTGGATGCCTCTTGACATGGTTTCCTGTAGGCAGCAGAGGACGTTATTGTTGTTCTGACAGTACTTAAACATGCCCACCAGACCTCCTTTTCTATCTGGCCTTGCTGAGCTTTGTAACACCTGCCCATTTTATGTGTGTTTGATTCCTTGAGGAAGTCAAGAAGATCTTGTGATAACTGACAAGGTCCTCCACGTCGGTCGGAGCAATCACAAGCACAAATACCAAAATAAGGTCCTTTCCAACTCAAACTACTCTATGATTCTGTGAGTCTATATTAATGTCAAATGCACATCTATTTCATGCTTTTTGTAGAGCCATGATCTCAGTGTCTCACCACACAGATCATCTGTCAAAGCACTGGTTCTAGTTGAGGGGAAGGCATCAGCTAAATTTTGTGATGAAAAGCTCCTCAATTAAATAAGTTTTTTCTTGTTGTCCTTAAGTATGTGTATACTGTGGAACATACTGCATGCTTAGGTTGTGCCCCCCAACCTTACTGTAGCTGGTCCCCCAATAAGCTAGATTACTTTGTTTATGTACAGATACCTCTCCTTTTGGATACAGTTTTTAGACTGATACTTTCTTAAGAAGTTATTTTGTAAGTTAAGAGAAAAAGAGATTTGAAAGATGGAAGGTAGGAAAAGATTGACAGTAGTAAGGTTGTGCATTATCTTTCAGAATATGTATTTTGTATATATTTTGATTGTTGGGCATTTCATACCTGTAATTCCTACATCTCATCGTTTAAGAAAAAATTTGTATTTAAAAAAACCCAACCCTTAAGCAAGTATGTGAATGGAATCAAGTAGTATTCAATTAGCTGAAGAAGTAAGAGTGCCAAAATCAGTATGTGCCTGTGTGTGTTTGTCTCATATTTTCCTTTGCCGTCTGTGACAAAGCAGAAAAGCAAAAATGTATATATGATGTCATCTTTATGAAGTTATGGATTATATGGAATGTGTGTTTTCTAAAACGTTTAGCGAACACTGAAGAAATGTTAAATAGAGGGGAACACTCAATTAGTTTATGTGTTCAAAAAAGATGAGGAAATGTTGATTTTTATGCTCCCTTAAGCATACAGCTGGATTTCAAAGTCTTAACAGCTTGTCTTTCAGACTGCTTAGGCATACTTTTTGGGAAAGTAATACCAGTTCAGCCTTTCATTAGGGAAGGAGGTTTCAGTTGTTGAGTCTTCAAACTGCTGAATGATGAACAGGGGGCATGATAGAACAGATCTCAAAATATCATGCTCAGCATAGAGCATTATTGGAGTTATTGATTGAGCTTGATTTTTTTTCTATAAAATAATCCCTGCTGTGTCATAAGTTTTTTGAATAATAATGAATTTAATATTCTAGTTAGTTTTATTTCTTTCTAAATTTTCTTAACCATTTCCATGCCATATTCAGAGTTTAGGGCAATAAGTAGATTTAAAAATGTTCGGTTTTAAACTTGGCAGAATCAAATTTTTTGAAATATTGATCATAAAGGCGTTCCAGAGAATAGACTAATCCAAGATTTCCAATGTCTTCTGCCTTTTTCAGATACTGCATTGACTTTCAGGTGTATGAGAAGTCACTGTGGCCCTGAGCAACCAGTAGGTAAGCAATAGAACAAAACTTTGCACCACTTTCTGATTAGATATTTGTCAGTTTCCAGGTTGTTTACTGTACTTTATCAGTTCAAGTATTCTGATCAAAAGGAAAGGATATTTAATAGCAAAGTTTAATATCTTAGAAATGAATGTCAAGAAATGGATGCTTATAGTATCAAACTAAAACAGGTATTGGTTGTGTTTTAAATATTAGAAAAATTGATTTTGTGACTCTAAGGAGATGTTTGTCCTACAAGGGCTGGTTCAAAGGGCATCCAGTTGTGTTTGTTCATTAACTTCAAAATACTGCGTTGAGAGGTGGGGAGAAAAAGAAGGGTGTTTAAGTTAAAACAGAGGTTTAACGTGTGTCCTGATCTTCACTGTTAGTGTCACAAATTCCTTAAGTATGCATGATCTAATTTTTAACTTAAAGAAAAACTGGTTTTACTACAGTCTTCTTGTTTGCAGTACACCAAAATATGAACACAATGTTAATCTGTGTTGCAAAATTGATGCTTATTAGAATCATCTTGTGTGGTTCAGCGGCCAGCCTCCTTTCAGTTGTTTAACATAAAATTGGTTAGCACTGATAATGCCTGATAATTGTTATTTTATTTTTTTTTTCCAGGAAAAATTATAAATTCAATATGGCACCCATTTTAGATTGGAAGAAGCTTATGAAAGTTGATCCAGATGCTCTGCCTCATCAGGAGAAACTAGCGGACAGATTGCTGGAGACCATGTCCAAGGTACTCAAGGGGAAAACAGCACCTGAGGGGTTTGTTATGCATTATGTATTCTTCCCTAAACTGTCTCTGGTCCTTCACATACGTAAATGATTTATTTTGTGGATTTCATTGATATTTGTACAAAAAAACCTGTTGTCTCTTTCATTAGGTTGATGGGAAAGACTTGAAAACTCAAACTCCGGAACAACTGATACACCTTTTTAAAATTACTCAGTCACTAATGAAGGTTTGTATTAATCCTCACTTTCTACAATTCTGCAGATGCATTTGTTTAATTTTTGTTTAAATGAAAGCATCGTTACTCTCTTCTTTTTTTTTCTTTTTTCCTTTTCCTGCATTGAACACACTGGTTACTCCTAAGACCTTTTATATGCTAAATGTATGCTTGCACCAGAGTATCTGCTTGGGGCTGTTGGGACTATGGCAGTGAGAAGTAAATAGGACTCACATAGTTGTACAGTTAAGGAGCCTTAGTTTTACAGATGGAAAATGCAAACAAATATCTCAAAAATAGATTAGAATTTTTAAGTTATTGGTAGTGATTTTAACTTTAATAGAAGTTTTTGTGATAGGTTGATGGTTTAGAGTAAATAAAAACACCACCATGAATGAAGAAACACTGCCATCCTGAAACCGATCCTATAAATCTGTCATGCTTTCTTGTACTTACTCATAAATGTGCTGAAAGCAAGAAATAACAGCAGTGTAGGTTAGCACACTGGTTTTAGAGAGGCTTTTTTACTGTTTTTGTTTCTCGGCAGTATGCTTTTCAATGTTTAGATAGCCCTGTAGAATAAATTACTGAAGAAGATATTTCAACAATCTGAACTTTTTAATTGTCAGCATGGGAAAAATGGGACTGGTTTCATTTGTTTAAAGAGAGAAAATCAGTGTTCTTTTGTAAATATTTTCATAATTTTAAACATGAGCTCTATGGAGCAGTCTTTTAATTTACGTTAATAGTAAAAATTTCGTCTTTGTTTGCTATGCTTTTTTTCGCAGATGAAAGCTCAAGAGGTGGAACTGGCACTAGAAGAAGTAGAAAAAGCTGGGGAAGAGCAAGCCAAATGTGGTAACCCAGCCTTTTTGTGCTCTTCCTGAATGGTTTGTTAAGTGTATTCTTTTTTTTTTTTTTTTAAGTTTGGGGAACTGGATAAAATACCAACTGCTCTGAAGTCAGTTGCTTCAGTGAAGCCAAATATTTAAAGACTAAGGTTAACCATTGTTGTTTTAGGTACTTTTTACCTTGTTGGGTAATTTACTGTATCTATTCTATTTTAACAGAAAATCAATTTAAAACAAAAGTGATGAAACTTGAAAATGAATTACAGGTATGTTTTAAAATTTTGTTAGTTTATAGAGTGCAGTTTGGTGGGGTTTTTAAAATGAGTTTTTTTAGGCTAGTATTTTACCCTAGTAAAGAGGTCTAATAGGCCTACATTTTAGCTACTACTTTTTATTTGCTTTTAAATATACACTAGCCCCAGGTTTGCAAAAAGCTGTATGTGCTATGAATTTTTTTTTTTACTTGAATAAATCCCATTTATTTTTAGAGATTTCTGGCTTCTGTTGAAAGAAGCTAGTGAGCCCTTCCTGTTGCTTTTCTGGACATGAGGAACGTTAGTCTTAGCATCTGCTTTTTTTTTTAGTTCTTTCTATTTTGAAGAACTCTACTATATTTATAATGTTATTTGAATGCTTTTAAGATGGCACAAAGGTCTGCTGGTGGTCCTGATACTTGTTTTTTGCGTGATGAGATCTGTCAACTGGAAAAACAATTGGAACAAAAAGAGAGACAGTTAACAGATATAGAAAAAGAATTGGAAAAAGAGAAGAAAGTCAATGAACAGGTAAGAAGGACTTGAGCTTGACATCTCCAAAAGCTATTCTGGCACATCTTTTAAAAAGAGCCTCTGAAATTAAAAAAAACAACACCGATGAAATAGGACTGCTGTGCATTTGTATTCTGTTTTGTTTCTGGAGTTCTTTGTTTTTGTAGTTTGTGGTGTTGGTGATACATATAAAGGTTTTCCATCTTGTTCTAGCTTGCTCTTCGAAATGAAGATGCCGAAAATGAAAACATCAAATTAAAGAGAGAGGTTAGTAAAGAATTATTGCTGATTTACTGTATTTTTAACTTCATTTATAAATATTTTATTAGCTTTCTGTATTTATAATCTTTGTTGTGGCATAATGTTTAATTCTGTTTTAGAACGTTTCATGGTTACTGGTACAAAGTAAATATGGAATTGTAATGACATTTAGCAAATATATAGTACATCTGCTCCAATGAAATTTAATTGAGATCAGGAAGTGTCTACATTTGAATTCATATAGTCCTACTGTGCATTAATGTTGTCTGGGCTTTGTGTTTCGAATTTTTAGTATTTTTCTTAAATACTATTGACAAATAGATTTGGTGTATATTTGGATTTGGTTTATGCTTGCTGCTTTTGCTAGGATTGTCTCATTCGTCAAAATAAAGTTATAAAATCTCAAAAGTTAATATAAGAATAAATGCAAAGATAGAGTTAACAGTCTTTATTGCTAGAAATTTTTTTATTCATTGTCTTGAAACATTTTTTCTAACTATTTTTAGGGAAAAATGCATGTTTTATAGCATTTAATACTTGTAATCTTGGCCTGTAGGAGAACAAAAACAGACAGTAAAAGTTACATTAATGTCCTGGGGGGCAACATTGAGAATCATTCCTCAAAATGCCCTTCTACTTGTGTGTGTGTTTGTATGTACATGGATGCATAGATATATAGAAAACTCTATTTTATTTTGTCTTTATGTTGATTCCCATTTAGTCTTCCTAAAGCAAAGATAATTTCTAATATTTCTCATGCTTTCTTCTTTTGGTCTTATTCTCCTTTTTAATCTGAAGAAAAAACACATAAAGAAAAAGGTGAGGCTTCTAAGTTTTTTTTTAAAAGAAGATTGTAGGAATTTGGATGGGCTTGGGCTGTTTTAGCTCTATGCTAGCTTACTAGAAAAGCAAAAACTTTGTCTTCAACTCTTCAAAATACATTTATGTTTGGATTGCTTTCTGTCTAGAATGAACAATTGCGTCAGGATGTAGTTGACTATCAGAGGCAAATAGATTCTCAGAAAGAAACAATTCTGTTTCAAAGAGGAGAGGATTTGGATCACAGATCGCAGTTGTCCAGAAAGAACTTTGAGCTTGTCCAGTATTTGGATGAAATTCAGGTAAAATCTATGCATGCTATTGAGTATTCATTAGACTGTTACTGACAGTAATGTTTTTCACAAAGCTATGTCAATTTCCAGATCAGGTCATGTGGAGTAAGGGAATTCATAATGTAGTTGGGTTCTGTGATGCATATAGTCTGCATCTGTGAATCATGCAGAGCTAATGAAGTTACTGGCACTGGGAAGTGTGTCTTTTATTTGCTGTGAGGATTTATTGAAATTGATGATCTAGAGGCAAAATACTTTCCTCTATGCTAGTTTACACTTTCAAGTTTTGCATTTAAGGTACCTATCAATTACTGGTTATTCAGTTATTTAGATGTGCACTTTTTAAAAGCCTCTTTTTCTTTAATTTTGCAGAATTTGACTGAAGCTAATGAGAAGTTAGACATTCAAAACCAAGAAATGAGGAAGAATCTCGAGGAATCAGTGCAAGAAATGGAGAGGATGACTGATGAATATAACAAAATGAAAGTGATGGCGCAACAATCTGATATTTTTATGGATCAGTTAAGAAAAGAGAAAGAACTGTACAAATTGCAAGTAAGAACTGACTTTTATGTTACTGAATGTAATTTTTTTAGGTTTATACCGTATTATCATATTTCAGCTTAAATTAAAAAACATTCAACATATCCAGTTGAAAACACATGCTCTATACTCTCTAAAAGTAGTGTGATCTTTAAATTCGGTGCAAATTTTAAAACTGGACTGCAGATCACCAAATTTTTTTGCACAAAATGTTAGTCATGCTCCATTCTTAAGAGTCATGACCTTCCCTTGCTGCTGTAATGCTAATCTGTTAAATTGTGTGTGGTTGATGTAGTGTGTTTGTACATATACATTGGTTAAGCAAAACGTTTTCGTGATACGATGTTCATCCAAATGGCATTTCTAGGTTCAGGAGCTTTCAGACCAGCTGAAAGCAAAGAATGAGGAAGACGATCCACTCATGGCAGCTGTAAATGCAAAAGTTGAAGAATGGAAGGTACTTTTTAATACTTTTTTATTATTTTTAGGAATTATTTCAAGTGTTCTGATGGTATTTTATCTTCTTTTCAGAAAATCTTAGCTTCGAAAGATGTTGAACTCCGAGAGTATCAGCAAATGTTGTTTAACTTGAAAGAGAAAATGAAAATGGCCCAACTTGATGTAGACAAAAACAGTATGATGGCCCTTCAGCAGGTACAATCTGTGTGAGAAATTACAAACATAGAAATCGTCATTCACTACATATACCAGTGACCAAATAATTATTTAGACTGTCATAGTTTGCAAATACCACAATATGTGTTACTGATAAGCTCTAAGCTCTTTGCCTTTAGATTTGAAACATGGTTCTGTATGTCCACTAAGCAAGCCTGAGCTTTTGTTTTTCGTAACATTGGTATAAAGTAAGATTGGCAGCTCTTGAGATTTTTACATTACAGTTACTTTCTGTAACTTTTTTCCAAGTCTGTTTTTTATTTTTCCTCTTTTTTTTTGTTCATCACAATAAAAACAACATAAAGCTTTCTGTGATATGTCTACAGTTCATGTATAAGCACAGAAACAGTATAATATGAATGGAAGTTACTTTCACAGCCTGTGTGTACTTATGGATGTATACATATGCAAAAACAAGGTATTATATGAATTTTTAGAAGTTGGATGACTTGCTGAAAGGCAGTCTGCAATACAGGTGTCATGTATCATGGATTGTTAGTTCTCCCAATCTTGAAGGTGTACCTCTTGGGTCACACTGGCAATTGTTTATGAGAAAGCTGTAAGAAACCAGTATCACCTGAAACTTTTTATCATACATTGGCTTAACTTTTAGAGAACTGTTCCATTTAAAATTCATATACTAAAATACTGCTTCTCTGTTTTTTTGTTTGTTTGTTTGAATGCTTTATTTTTACTCTTTTATTTTTCTTGCTTTGCCTTTATATACTCAACTTCTAGATAATATCTGACCTCTATGTTGTAAGTACAGTATATTTGCTTGTTGTATAAATTGTTTTGTATTAGCTACTTTTAATTTCTCCATTTACTGTGTGTTGTTCTGTATTGGTAGTTTGCCTCTCAGTAAAGAAGAATTCTTTAATGGAGTTTCTTTTTTTTGGTGTGTGTAGGGAGTGCAAGAGCGAGATGCTCGGATAAGATTGCTAACTGAGCAAGTTGAAGAGTATACCAAAGAAATGGAACAAAATGCATTTATTATTGAGAAATTAAAAAATGAGCTCCAAAAAGATAAAGGTAACATGACTGTTTTGTTTTAAGGTCTATGAAAAGTAATATAAGAAACCACAATTTTACTGTGTATTCTTTATTCTCTAGAAATACAGAAGAAATATTTGCAGTATTTGAGTAATATTAGTCTCTATTTTTTTTTGTTCGTTTCCATTTATTCAACATTTGAGAAGAGTTTAAATTTATTCACAGTACTTCAGTGGGTATTGTGGGTAATAATATGCCTAATAAAACTATTCCTGGTCTGTAAAGGTTAAAGCATAACACATAAAGTCTCATCTCTATCAAGAATTGCAAATGAGTAAATGAGTAGTAGCATGTAATCCAAAATAAATTCTGATGTCCTTTACATGCACTTATTCTTGTAAATATTGTTTGAATGAATGATTGAGAACCAAAAAAAAAACCTCTCGTAGTCTTTTGTAATTACTTTCATTAAAAAGAGAAGAAAATTAAGATCTCCTTTATAACATCATCTGAAGTATTTCTTTCTTGCTTAATGGCTGATAGCAAGAACTCCTAGTTGAACTGTAAACAGATCAAGGTTTTTCTTTCCAGGTGACTCATCTCTTGCTCAGCAGAATTGGATTGGGGAAATGCAAGAAAAGTTAAAAATGCTAGAAGAGAGAGCTAAGGAGGCTGAGAAATCAGCAGAATTAGCAGAAGCAGATGCTAGAGAAAAGGACAAAGAGCTTGTTGATGCGCTGAAACGAATGAGAGACTATGAACTGGTAAACAATTTGTGAGAGTGGACAGGGTATTTCATCATATTTTTAGGCAATGATTTTGTCCTTCCATTTTTTGTGGACCATGTTCTAATTAGAAATGAAATTGATGACTTGTGAAGCTGAGGGTTTTTTCTTTTCTTTCACAGTAACATTTAGTGGTCACTGACTGCGTGCAGTTTGTTAGCCATACTTAACAATTTTTACAAGTTGTCAGTTTTAATATATTCGTATGGGCTTCTGAAGTCCATTGAATGGTAAGTGAACAGTCAAGACATGATTCTTCGAAGGATCATGTAGTACGAAGACTCAATTTTGAAATATGCAGAGACTCCTCTGTAGTCAAAAGATGGATTTGTAGAATCTGCTTTTTGTCAGTAACTTTTTTCACTAAGCATAATGCAGAAAGGTGATACAGGTTGAAAAGCATTTTTTTCTTATCTGTGTAATGATAAAATAGAGATTCATAATTTATTTTCTTCCATCTTCTGTTGGTTGTTTTGTTTTTAATTCCCATTTGGGTTTTTACAGGGTACGTATGGTTTGGAAGAGGCAGTTGCTGAAATAAAAGATTTTAAAAAGCAAATCAAAATAAGAGATCGTGAGATTGAAACGTTAATTAAGGAAGTCAATAAACTTGAACTTAAAATGAATGATTTTCTTGATGAAAATGAAGAATTAAGAGAGCGTTTAGGTATGCTGTATCCATTATGTTTTCAGTTATTTGTTGTGTAAGAATTGTCATGGAAGTCTTCTACTATACCAAGTAACTACATGGAAATAATTTTGTACATTCTGCTAATATTTGCAAGTAGTTTTAGTTAGTTAGGACAAACTGCATTAATGTATATGGCTAAACTTGACTTGTGGGTTGCTTTGGCTGAAGAAAGTAGGAGAATCGGTTTTGTAGTGCTTTTTTGGTTTTGATTCCTCTTTGAATGTACACTGCATAATTAATTTCATAACATGGTGTTCAGAATCCGTAACATGCTGAAGTTGTAATGCTACACTGAAAAACACAGAGAAAACTTTGGACAGGCTTATTTTTACATAGAAGAATCTAAACATAAATATAGTTAATATTAAGTATCATTTTATAGCATTTTGTTTTTTGAGTAACTGAAGTAAAATTATGCTTTCTTCTGGTGTTATTACATGGAGTATAAGATGTGTGTACATATATAGAAATACATATATTCAGCTATCAACATTTTTTTAGTTCTACTTGACTAGTCAAGTTCTTATTTAAATAAACTGCATTCTAATGATTACTAACATTAAGGTTCCTCCTTAATGAATAATTATACAGTGTATACTGTGTTTTAGGTCTTGAGCCAAAGGCAATTATTGATTTAAACAGATTGAGAAACAGCAAAGCACTGAAGCAGCAGCAACATAGAGCTGAAAACCAGATTCTTTTGCAAGAGGCAAGTGATAAATCCGATTTTTGTGTAAGGGCTACATAATAAAAATGTATTTGAATAAAATGAAATACTCATCTGTGAACAATACGCAGATTGAACGACTAGAAGAGGAAAGAATTGAACTGAAAAAACAGGTTCGTAAGTTGGCTCAGGAGAAAGGAAGAAGAGTTGCAACCATAGGTAGGATTTTTCTTGTTATAAACTGTCCTTTCAAAAACATGCTGTCTATACTTATTAATATAGCTATGTTATATTTACCCATTTGTTTAAATTAAAAGGCTAAATGCATTTCGTTGAATCTGTAGGAAGAGGTGAGTGGTTGTTTTGTTTCTGTAGTCTTACAGCCCAGTAGCTTTTTGTCTTGTGATGGTTAGTAATGCATCACGGAGAGTTGCGTCATTGGCTTGCAGATGATCTTGCCATCATTTCCAGTAAATCTGTATAATGTATGTGTTTTAAAAAGCTTATAATTTCAATTCTGTTCCACCCAGAGAAGCATAATGTGCTCAGATGGAAAGGTTTACAGCTCCTTACTTTGAAGTTAGAAAACTAGAACTCAGATATACTGAATGGAATATATTCCCTTGCTTGGAGACCAATTAAAAATTCATAATCATTTATTACTGTACATTTACTTGCAATTAGGATTGGATGCTTGTGATGTGCAGGTAACTGATAGCTTTACTGAAGAGAAGGGAATGAATGAGAGGAAGTTGGATTTCTTGCACAGACATGATATTGCTGAAGTAAAAGCAAAGGTAGGTTCATAAAGCAACTTCATAAACATTGTATTTCTCTTTCAAAATGAAAATTATTTTATTTTGTAAACACCTGTTCAAATATTTCTCTAGGTGCTTTTATTAACTGCTTTTAAAAAATAAAAAAAATCAATAATCTGTAATTTGTTTAGAAGACTAATGAATATTCTGTATTTTTTATGAATATAGGCTAGTAGCTTGCGTAACGTGGAAGGGAGAAACACACTTGCAGATACAGAAGCACCAGTTAGACTTCTGAAGTCAGAGAAAGATATAGCTGAAAACAGTAAGGCTCTGGGAAAACTACCTACAAGAACTTCTCAGGCGTGCCTGAGAATTTAGATCACTTGGAAAAAAATAGAAATACTTCTGTTGATTTAGGTTCAAAACATTTGACAACGTGGCAACTGGTTAAAGACAACTGTAATTCTGAAACTTTTAGTATAAAAAAGCTTTTTGTATCACCAGAGCTGCAATTTACACAGACATCAGGGATAACAGATTCTACAGACAATAGAGAGATGTCAAAAGACTTAAAATCAGACTACACAGGTTCGTTTTCTGCTTGTCAACAAGTGGGTCAGACCTCAGAGGTCAATAACGAAAATCACAGAAACAAACCATCTTTTCAGAATCAAGGGTCTGTAACTTTTAATTCAGACCAAACAGATCAGGAAAATTTTTGCCCAGAACTATGTCTCAGCAAAATCTCTCTGATTCCTTGTGCATCTGCTCTTGGAAAGCCAGTAATGCACAAACCACGAATAATGACATTGAAGGATAAATAAGCAAGACTATTCACAAGTAATATTTTCTGATTTAACTACCTTTCAAGAAGACAGAGAAGGGAAGAAATACCTGGCAGATTAGTTGCAAGTAAAAACTTTGGAAAGTGGACTTAAAAATGGACAGTCAGCACACTCAGGTCAGGTAGATCCTGTTGAATATCTCGTAGAGCAATTGAGGAGAGAATTAGCCCTTCTTAGATCAGTGGTGAGACACCTTTATAATATGTGTATATTTATAGCTATTGGAGTTATTTAGAAGATAAATTCAAAAAATAAAGGTGTGTTTACCTTCATCTTTATTAATTAAAGCTATAGGATAGTTCTAATAGAATTGGAAGTGTTTTCTTCTAATAAAAAAGTGCCAAGTCATTAATTTGCAGTTTATTTGTTGACATAAGATTGAAAAATGTGGCATATATTTTTACTGTCAGTGGAAAAAGTTTGCACAACACCCGTGCACACACACATAAATGGATATGGAGAACAGTTTTTATGCTAAGACCTTACACATGTCTGTGTAAGCAAAGTACTCATCACTTGTCTTATTAATGCCTACAGCCTTGCATCTCATACAAATCAATTGTTGTAACTGTATTTTGAACAACATAGTTCGAGGATTATTTTAAAAAATTGTTCTAAATAAATACAGAGAAATACAAATGGGAGTTTACAAGCGTTAGTTGAATAAAGTAGGGACTGAATCAGTCCTTTGGTATGAAACATAGAGGATGAGATTTCTGCTAAAAGACACAGATGTTATTTGACTAGAGGACATGTCCCACCTCCAGATGGTGTGAAGTTAGACTTTTGGAATGAGAAAGGCTTTTCCTTCTGGGAAACACGAAAGAAGTTCCTGAGTTGGTTCTTCTGGCCTTTTATCCATTTCCCTGCCAGCTGACAAAATAATGTATATCTGTTGTCAGAAGAAAAGATTTCAAATGAAAAAATCCATTATTTATTAAAATGATCTCCAATGATAAAATCTTTTAGGTTCTCAGAAGGGATTTTGAAAACTTTTTATAATCGGTGAAAGAAGAGGTTGATTTCTGGACGGTTGCTGTGGTTTCTTCTATTCACATGATAAATCATATAAAAAAAATTATTCACTGGTAGCTTCCTATATTGGTACCTTGAAATTCTGTATTCGGTATCTGTATAGTGGAGGACATCGCTTTGGTTGCTAGAGATACATTTGTGGCATGCATCAAGCCAGCTCCTCAGTGTCTCACAGAGTTTTGGTCTGTATCAGACTGTTGCTCCAGCTGCTACATGACCCAAGAATACATGTCTCTCTAGATAGCGTTGTATGAGATACACCTTGTGTAATTCTTCACGTGAATTCATCTCTGTTGCTGTTGCATTTCAGGCAGGAGATTTGTATGTGGTCTGGGAGATTTTCATGAAGGCATACTCTAAATTTTAAAAAAAGCTGGGACTAGAACATTAGATTGCTAAAATTAGAATCTGTGTGTTTTTTGTCTGGGAAAAACCATCTAAGAATGTGATGAGGAAACATCACAGTTACATTGTCTAAGATAAGCAAATAAATCTTTCCTGTCTCTAACTGAAATGTTTTGGAACTCATGGCGTTTCTGTTGAGCCCTTTGAGCTACATAATTGATCAATGGAAAGTACAAGTTTATATACATCAGGCTTTTTGAATTATACAACAGTTTTTCCATGCTACAGAAGTATGCTTTGCTGTTGTGATTTCTCTTAAAATACTGTGTTATCCAAGCTTTGGAATAAATAATGCCTACTAAATGCATTTTCAGTAGAAGAGAAGAAATGGTGGGTTTTTATATTTTGGAAGATAAGTCTTGGACGTATAATTTTTTTGTATGTAAGTGGAGATAGAATCCTATATTAATAACTTACTGTTGGGGTTTTTTTAGAATGAGCAGATATCCAGAGATTTGTTGATAAAGAGTATGCTAAATAGTTATACAGAATTAAATCCTGAAAGATGCAGAAGCTATGCAGTGCAGGTAGTAGGAGGTTTTAAAAAAATCAAAACAGGATAGATATTTATATAAATTTTATTCACTGTTTAAATAACTTTTTCCTGATAATTTTGTTTCTGTGAAGTTCAGGCTATTTCTTTGATTGTTGCCTTCTATATTACACTTTATTCTGATTTGCATATTATGTAATTTCGCTGTTGTATATATGGATTAGCAATGTTTTAAAGCATTTATTCTCATATAACCACAGAGTCTTAATGAAAATTCTAATACTAAAATTCCTAAATTACAATTTTTGAGTCTTCTTTGTTATTTTCTTCAGAATGAATATCTTGCAAATGAATTAAGTGTGAGAGAGAGAGATTTGGAGAAGAACAAGACTGTAATAGCCAAATTTCAGTCGAAGTGTAAGTTGCAACCTGTTTTAAAACTAGCGAATATTATCAGGTACCTGCAGATAGTTTGCTTATTTAGTTGTTCTGTTTCTGTGATTTGACCACAAATATCTGTCTTTACAGTTTCTGTTTTAAATGCAGTTTACTTTGGTATCTTTCACAAAGGTTGAATTTGCTGTGTATATAGAAGGTTATTATACAATCATTCTGATATAATTCTGAACTGTGGATATTATGGCTGTGAATTGGTCCGGGTGTGAACACAATGATTACAAAACAATGAATGTAAATGACGTTTATCAAATTGGAATTTCTTTGAATCGTCATTAATGATTTTTTTTGTTGTTTATATTAGTGTATATCTTTGGGTGCATGTGTATAAATACGTATGTAGTGTTGCTAATTTCAAACTTAAATTAGTGATAGTACATGAAACATAGTTTATTCATGCTAACTACATTAAACTAGGATCTCTCGTATTTTTTCTTCCCGAATGAGACCTAATAAGGGCTTTAAGTCTGTGACTGATTCTAATTATAACAATTATATAATCTACTTGTGTAATTGTAGTGCTTTTCTGGCTCAGAGGAAGTGTTGGGCAATTAAACCCACTGACTGCTTGCGTATATATGTATGGTAGCTGAAGCGCACCGATTGCAAATAAAAATTATGCTCATTTCTCTAGGCAAGAATCTTAATTTTTTATGTGAATTCTAAAAATTCTTTTTGACTTTTCAAAATAGACTTGGTGAAACTGCTCAAACTGCTCCAAATTTTGCAGTTCACTTCTGTCTTCAGGACAGTTAGCCATATTGTTAAGATGCAGAGAATGTCCTGATGGGTTTGTTGTTTTTTTCAAAGTTTCCAGACTTCTTGCTCTGTGCTGGAAACTCTGGAATTCCAGTGAGAAATTAATGGTGGCAGGAAAATTGTATATCTTGAGAGTTCTTACTACAGCCAAATAA